AGGGCCTGCTAACGACAAAGATAAACCTTTTACATGCCTGGGGTGTGACTACCCACCATGATCTGCCCACTAAGGAATTTACAACCAGGTCACTCTCTGAGCTTACATTTGGTTAGGTTTGTTACAGAGCCCCTTTGCTGTTCACAGCCACCACTTCCACCATCACCACCATCATCGTCTTCATCACTGTTATCATTATCTCTATGACCACCATGGCCACCACTGTCATCATCATATCCTGTTCTCACCACAGTTCACTTTATTCAGCATTTGTCACGTGCCAGGCAGGTGCCACATGCTATGCAAGGTCATCGCACTGAATCAGGGTAACGATACTATGAAGTATGTTTTTCTAAGCTCCATTTAGCAGATGAGGAAACTAAGGCTCAGAGACAAAGTCACTACCTCAGAGTCACTGAACCAGCCCCTACAGATTTGCAATTCTAACTCAGGCTGTTGCCCTAGCTGGGTGGCTCTGTTGGAGTAACATCCCTTAACATCAAAAGGTGTGGGTTTGATTCCTGGTCAAGATACATATAGGTTTCTGGTTCAATTCCTGGTTAGGATGAGTAAGGGAAGTAATGGACTGAAGTTTCTCTCTCACATGATGTCTCTCTGTCTCTTTCTCACCCCCTTCCTCTCTCTTCTTCTGACTCTAAAAATTAATAAAAAATATATACTCGGATGAGGATAAAAAAAATAAACAAACTTAGATTGTCTTGGGCATTGCCAGCACCTTATAAGAGAGAATTGATCCACAGAGAGGAGGCCCTGAAGGACTCCAAACTCAATGATAAAGCAGAACGGTCGTGTCAAAACAGGAATAGAGAAGGGATGGAGCTGACAAAGTAGCCATATTTTAAGCCATTGTGTTTCTTCTCTTGTTAAAATATTCCACGATTATTAATTTCTTATTGCTAAAGTAATATACAAAATTTGGAATTACAGAAGTTAAACAGAAGAAATTTAAAATCACTCACAATGCCATTCTCTTATTAACATTTATAAATTCTTTACATGTGATATTCTATATTTTGCTCCAGTTCCTGATTTTATTGTAACATCATGGTGGCTTTCCATGTTATTTTAATAGCCTCCTACATTATTTTATTTATAATACTGAATTATTTTCATTACACATATTTAAATGCTGCCTTTCTTTCCTCTGACATTTAATGAAACCAATTAAAACTCTTTTGCTATATTTTTCCCATCAGTGCCTTTAGCATCACTTTTGGGTGACTTAACTAATTTACAGAGCACTTACCTTTGCTAATGTGCACTGGGACTTTTATCCTAAACCTCAGCTGCCCGTCAACATGACTTGATAACAGCGCCTTTTACATATAAAGATGATATTCTCATGGCAAACTCTGCTACAGTGTGTTTTAAAGTCTTCTTTGAAAGGCTCATACATAGAGATGTCTAGTACTTTCATTATTCTCTCCTCTAGAATAACATAATTAGGATGGACAGAATGCAACTATTACAATTTAGGTAATTAGGTGTAAACAAAAGTTTATGCACAAGTCTTCAGTTTCAACAAATGCTAGGTTATGGGGGTGAGGGAGTGACTTCCTTTTTTTAAAATATGAAATATCTTCACTTGGTTCAAAATCAAAATTTTGAAAGGGCAGAATCTGAAATTCTCCTGGCTTCTGGAGAATGCTGTTTCCCAGCCTCTCGGGTTTCAGAGGCAACAGGTGTTATGAATTTCTCAGGCAACTTCCAGGAACATTTTATGCCAATACGAACCCATTAAACATATAAGTGCATTTGAGGCACTTATGTTAATGCAAAGGCTGGCCTGTATGACTCTGTGTATATCCCAGTGCACACACACTTAAATTGTAGAGAACAGATAACATATGTGTAAAATAGAGATGGTTTCCCTGTTATGCAAATACATTAGAGCTATATAAATACACCTTTCTTATGCATATGTTAGCATCTTCTTCATTGTCACCCCTATTGTATAAATGTTAGCACACATATGTCTGCCCTCTGGTTATCTATCTACTTAACAGCTTTAAGACAATCTCTTCTCTACCTTTTATTAAAGAAATTGTTAACATATACTAATATAGTGACAATAAAACCACAGACTCTTCCCCCAGCTCTTAAAAAATGCCCAATTTTATCCCATCTTTGGTTCCGCTTGCTCCCCAAACCTCCCCAGATATCTAGACATAAATTCTATGTGTCACATTATTTCACCTGCCAAGTTTTTAGTGTGTATCTCCAAAAGATCTGTCTTTAAATCCGTTATCATACTTATAGCTTCCTTTGGAGCAGTCACCGGAGTTGGCAGGTGAGGAAACTGGGAATTTATACCTATGAAAAATGCACAATCATTCTTTAATGCCATTACATCTCAAGCCTTTTAAAAAAAAAAATTGTTTGTTGGATTTGGGGTCCAGTAAGACACTGCAGTTTGTTATGTTTCTGTCTCTTTATTTTTTTATAAATTTATTTTTATTTTTTAAATATATTTTATTAATTTTATACAGAGAGGAAGGGAGAGAGATAGAGAGTTAGAAACATCGATGAGAGAGAGTAATTGATCAGCTGCCTCTTGCACACCCCCTACTGGGGATATGCCCGCAACCAAGGTACATACCCTTGACTGGAATCGAACCTGAGACCCTTCAGTCCCCAAGCCGACGCTCTATCCATTGAGCCAAACTGGTCCCGGCCTATCTCTTTATTTTAAAAATATATTTTATTGATTTTTTTTATAGCAAAGAAGGGAGAAGAATAGAGAGCTAGAAACATCAATGAGAGAGAAACATCGACCAGCTGCCTCCTGCACACCCCCTACCGGGGATGTGCCCGCAACCAAAGTACATGCTCTTGACCAGAATTGAACCTGGGACCTTCCAGTCCGAAGACCAATGCTCTATCCACTGAGCCAAACCGGTTTCGGCATGTTTATCTCTCTTTTGATGTATGTGCCGTGTTTTTTACTGGATAGTGGGTACTGTGCAGCTTCCCAGACTAGGATTTTAAATTCCAGCAGGGTGTCCCAGGAGGGGCTGCTGTTCTGTGAGTCTGTTTCCTGTGAGCTACTCTACCCTGATCAGCCCTGCAGGAGCCTGTCCTTGGGGTGATTTCCTAGGCGTGGAATTGTTGAGTCGAAAGATGGGCAGACAATCTAACAGGAGTGAGAAAGCTCATGTCCAAGGTGATCTAGTGGGTGGCATACGGGGGGGGGGGGGGGGGGGGGGCTGTAAGCACCATATTGACCGCTGTCCTTGTGGCTGTGGGAGTGAGTCCAGGAGGTGGGAAGCTGAAGGCCTTAATACCGAAACCCTGGGCATGCCACTGTGAGGCCTCCTCCAGGGCTCCTGTATATTTCTATTTTGCTTATTACCATAGATTTAAAATGTATTTATTAAAAATTATCTTTTTTTATTTTAGACGACATAAAAATTAGTTAAGTATGTAGTTATTACTTTATGTACCTTTGTTTTTTTTTTAATTTTACCCTCTCCCCATGCCATACAATGTCTTTTTATTTTCCAATTAAGTTTACAATTCAATATTATTTTGTATTAGTTTCAGATATACTGAAAAATAAAGTGTCCCCTCAATATTTCTGGTGCTCACCAGGGCCCCTATATACAGATCACAGTACTGATCTCCTTACACCACAATTTATTACTAATAGAGTTAGTGCACACCCAATTGGTGGTGCTCAGACATGGATAGGCAAGTAGTTTTAGGCACTTACACTGGCCACATTTTTTCTGCATTAAACATCCCTTTAGATCATTTCTTTTGAATTTATTCAACTAACTTATTGAACTGATTCCAATACATTGGAATTGCTCTGGCTGGAAACACTCAATTTGTATACTGATTCAAAGCATAGCTTTCCCCCTCATTATAGATCCTTCTCATTAATCTGCCTCCTGGTGTTTGAGAATTCAAATTGCACAACACTGTTCAAAACTGTACAATATTAGGTGTCAGTGTCTTTACTCTGCTCACTGATCCTGCAGAGGAATTATTCAACACTGCTCATCAAAATCATATATGCTCAATGCTTAATCATCACTTGTATATTTTCATTTTTTCCAGTTTCCTTGCATTATTATATTGTCTGTTACTGGTTTGTAAGAGCTTATTTATGGCTAAAGATGTTAACCATTTCTCATGCATTGCAAATGAAATAGCATGTTTTTTGTTAGTATTTTACTCTGGTGTTTTATTTTTAGATTGTATCAAACTTGTGTATTAAATATAATCCTGTTCTGTAAAAAAAACAAAAACAAAAACAAAAACACACAAAGATGGGCAGAACTTAAAGGGTTTTGGCAAACATCAGCCCCCTGGCTCCTCAACTCTGTGACCATCAGAAACTGATCTCCTCGGGCTTCTTCATTCCAGGAACCCTGGTCACGCCCCGCTGGAGCGTAGCAGACGGTCGTTCCTGGTGTCCCAGCGCTATGAGGGGCAGGTGTCTGCCCCTGCTCTCAGGTGAGTGGGACAAAGACCCCTCCCTCTTCTCCCCATGACCCGGTGCCCATTCTAGCTTCGGTTGCTCCCCCACGTTTGGCACTTTCTCCAGAAATGACTGTGCGCCTGCCCTATTCGGGTCTTAGCTGGTGTTATGCAAAGAGCAAAGGCCCCCAAAACCTCAGAGTATGGTTCTTGGCTCCCCAAAGAAGTAACTCAGAGGAGTTGCTCTGAAAGAAATGGGTTTATTAGGGTTTATATACATAACAGTGGGGCTGACCATCACACAGCTGCCACCGTGAAGTAGAACCACCAAGTCCAACCGGCCTGTGGACCAGCTGCACTGGGGGCGGCCGGCAGGTGCTCTTGTTCCACCATCACCATCACCTGGGCTTTCCCAGCACAGAAAACGGAGGCAAACAGGCACGCTGAGGGAGGGGCATGCGTTTTTGAGCAAGCTGATTTGGGAGATCAAAACTGCTAGCTGTTTTTTTGACTGAGGAGCTGGCCAGGATCCCAAGGTCTCACAATTCTTACTGATGCGTCTTCACGTCTTCCCACAGGGTGGCAGGGGGAGCCGGAGCCTGGGAGAGGGCCCATGTTTCCCCTTTACCATACATCCCAACCCAACATGGGTACCTTCCCTCTCCACTCCCGTACAATCTGCCTGTTACATCTTCCGCACATATCCTGGGGAGGGAGGAGGAGACGCTCCATTCGTATATGTAACAGACTTAAGCATACTAGTATCGGAGTGGATAGAGCAGATTCCCCAGTCCCAAGACAACTTTCCAAATCATGTTGAGACAGGACCATTCTGGCCGGTTGACTGGATTTGTTTGCAAGGCAGCCCAGCAGTAGCAGAGAGGGGCGCCCAACAGTCCGAAACATTGGACCTGGCAGCCCCCTCCTCAGCCAACATGCCAAGCTGTTAGCCTGCACTGAACTCAGGAGAGTAAGGCAAATGTTTAGCAGACGCCAACAGAAGAAAATCAGAAGCAGGCCATCGCTCTATCCTGTGTAAGAACAGTGGCTCATTCAGATGTCTCCCTGGCCTCCTACACCATCTCTTTGACTGGAGATGCCCCCTGGCCCGGAATGCTAGCTGTGAGAGGAGGACCACACATCTGCCAGCTGGAATAGTAGTCGGCCACTTACCAGTTATGGGCAAGACTCTCCCCCATGAGGCTAGGAGAGCGCACCAGCGGGTGCCAGTTTGAGTGTCCCAGGGCCAGGCTAATACACTAGCTCCAGGGTTATGTCCTGGGGTGCTGGCAGCAACAGCTCTTCTCCGCTCCCCAACAAGGTCTTGTCTTAGCACCCTGTTCGTTGTTCGCATCTGCCCTCTCGGTGGGCCACCCGCCTCTGCTGCTGCATCTGGAACGCTGCGGGTTGATCTTGTTGGGGCTTTTCATTCGTGGTTAGCAGCAAGTCAGAGTCCTGTGGTCCATCCTTGTCACCTTGTAACGACCGTGCCCCGGTTTTTAGGGAGTTTTTCAAGAGTTCATTATAGCGTCCTATCAGCCCAGCTCCTGCGGGATGGCAAGGGCGGTGCAGTCGCCGTCCAACGTTGAGGCTCTCAGCTCAGTCTTGCATGTAACATCCAGTCCTTGCCAGCAGGGGGCACGGATGCTGCTCTGCATACACAGAACAGCCCTGACAAGCTGTAATGTCAGTCGTCTTCACTGGGAGCCCCAGGCTTTAGCGGTTGCTCACAGGATTTTGACGGGCACGTGTCCTTTTCCTGTGTAGCCTGGTCTTCGGCTGCGGCCTCTTCCGGCCATCGGACGGGAGCAGGTGCATTTGCTTCATCATCCCTGGACACAGAATGGCTGATGTCCCGTGACATGATATAGAGTCACCTCCTTAGTTGGCACATATGTCAGCCCTCATGGTTGGTCCCCACAGGGATCTGTTGTGGGTAGTCCAGTCCTAAGCATGCCACTTAGGGGGCTGTCCTTTTGCACGGGGCATCAGTACGCCATGCTTCAGGTGGCACTGGAACCGCACCTGCTCTCACAGGCCAAGGGCCAACAGGCTCTCCCTGAGTGTCTTTTAAGCATCTCCTTCTGATACAAAGGTGACTGGCCCCATGTGTCTGCCATTCCTGGCGGGGGCATTGAATGGGGCGTATGTCTCTGCTGCAGGAAAACACTCCATCTCATTATCGCCTGCATCTGTGCTGCGCCTGATTTCAGGGTGAGACACATTATACAGCCACCCCAAGATGGGATAGGTGGTCCGCACCGTTACAGCAAAGCTTCCAGGTAGAGGCTGCTGCTTGCAGGGGGTGGTAGGTAGCGTAGAGCTGTTTCTCTATTAGGCTGTATCTTTTCTTCAGCCCCTTTCCACACCTGGGACCAAAATCCTTTTGGGAAGCGGAGTCTCCCCTGTGGCTGCCAGAGACCCTACGACACCCCCTCCTGGGTTCCATGTGCATCCAATTCGCCAGGTAGGGCTGGATCATAGATACCAAGCGCCTGTACCTGTTTACCTGCTCTTTTGCCTCCTCAAAAGCCCGCTGGTGCTTCTCCTGCCAGTTCCCACTGTCGTCCTCTCCTTACAAGTGCACACAAATAGTTCCGGGTGCACTATTCTACAACACATCCTCAAGACCCCAAGCCAAGTGTCCTTCTATTGCCATTCATTTCCCCTGTACCCCTTTTACGTGTCCCCCTCCCCCCATCCCTTTTCTTTTGGTAATCACCTAATCTTGTCTGTAATTTTTCCATTTTGGAATCATAGTGATTCTTAAATTCCTTCAAGTTTTCTGGGGACATTCAGAATCTAACGCATGTCTCCCTCACACATGACAAGCCAAAGTCTTGGTCAATAAAACCAGCTTTCAACCGTGCCCTGTTATAAAGCGCACAGATGTTCATTGAATGCGCACAACCAACCATATTGTCATGACAAGTAATACTTATTAAGAGTTTCAGAATTCTAGAGGGATCAGGTAGGGGAAAACATACAAATGCCTTGTACCCTGTTTCCCCGAAAATAAGACAGTGTCTTATATTAATTTTTTCTCCCAAAGTTGCGCTAGGTCTTATTTTCAGGGGATGTCTTATCTTTCCATGCGCTAGGTCTTATTTTCGGAGGATGTCTTATTTTCGGGGAAACATGGTATTGCTTACAAAGGTACAATTTACTAAACTGCTCTAAGGAAAAAACAAGGGTGCTTACCTCTGAAAAACAAAACACTTATTAAAAAACCAGCAATATTTTTTAACAAAGTCATAAAACAACAATTGTCCTCAGTTCATTCAGGCCTATCTGATCAATTCTTCTTTACCCAGAACATGTCAATTTTTCCATAATCCCGATCTGCAAGTCTATTCTCAGAAAACTCCATTTTAGAATAAGTCCCAGTCCTTTCCATGGGTCTTGATGATGAACTCTCTTTGCAAATGCATCAGAGCAAAACAGTGATGGCGAATGACAAATTTAAAATGACATGGCTATAGATCTGATTAAAATGCAATCAACCAAGAACTGGGCTTTTCTGTAAGATGTCATATTCCAAGATGACAATGTGAATGTAGAGGTGTGCCATATTCTCCCGCGCCCCCCCTCCCCCCCTACGCTCCCCTTCCACAGGCTGCTCCTGCACAGGGCTGGGGGCAGCCCTGGTCCCCCAAGTCCTGGGACCACAGCAGCCTCTGAGTCTCCTAAAAGAAGACTCAAGGTGTTCAGAAGACTCATTTAAAAATGTTTCCTTTATTTGGCCAGTGGCACTTCCACACCACTGTTACCAGAACTGAAAGTGGTCCTGCTGGCGTTTTCTGGATCTCCCCAGAAAGTTCACGTGGTGGTCTCCTCATACCACAGGGAGCTCCTTTTCCAAAGTGGGGTTCTTCAGACTACATTTCACACTGCCTCCCATCCACCCTCTTCACCAGCCTTTAGCTCCATAGAAATTTCTCTGGAATCCAACCTGCCCACTATGACAGTTGTTATACAAAGTACTGAGAGTGAGATTTCCAAACAAATAACCAGAGGACTGGCTGAGAAAGATATGGACTAATTATATATAGAGGCCCAGTGCATGAAATTCGTTCACTGGGGGTGGGGGATAGGGAGTGGTGTTCCTCAGCCCAGCCTGTACCCTCTCCAATCTGGACTGCTGGCTCCCAACTGCTTGCGTCTAACCACTTCTGCCTGCCAAACTGATCACCCCCTAACCACTCCCTTGCCAGCCCAATCGACGTCTAATTGCTCCCCTGCTGGCCCGGTTGCCACCAACTGCCCTCTCTGCTGGCCCGGTCACCCCGACTGCCATCCTCTGCCAGCCCAGTTACCCCAACAGCCCTCCCTCCCCTGTAGCCCTGGTTGCCCCCAACTTCCCTCCCCTGCTGGCCTGATTGCTCACAACTGCCCTCCCCTGTCGGCCATCTTGTGACCACACAGGGGCAGCCATCTTGTGCAAGGGTGTGATTGTTGATTTGCATATTACCTCTTTATTATATAGGATGCCATGGCCAGGGCTATTGTTTCACACCACTCAGACTTTCCCAACACTAAGTTTTATGGAAAAACAGGACCTGCAGGGGTGGGGGATGGGTTCCCCCTCATCCTCCCTCCTCCCCAAGCTACATAAACTCAAAACTGCTAGCTGTTTTCTTTGAGATGCTGGCCAGGCTCCCAAAGTCTTACAGTTCAGTCTTCCCACAGGACAGGAGGCGGAGCTGGAGCATGGGAAGGGGCCCAATTTCCCATTTCCCATTCTCTTGCTCAACCCCAAAGCAGGACTGAGATAATGACTGGGCGTAAGCGGATTCCAAGAGGCACAGGGTGGGAGTGGGGGTGTCAGAGAGGGAAGGAAGAGCATGTTAATGAGGGGTTACTGCTGGGGACCTGCAGGAGGCTTTATGTAATGTGCCTTTGAAGGGCAAGAAGGCTGAGCTGTCTATTCTTCAGTCTTCATCTGGAAAACGCAAAAAAACAAAAAACAAAAAACGTCCCATGTCTCATCCTGTGGGTAGACAGTCAAGGGTATAGCTAGAATTCTAAGAAAATACTGGCCAGAGTCTGTTTTGGTACATAGGCAGGGATAGGCCCCAGAGCTGTTTTTTGTAGCTGTAAATGAAGATATATCCTTCAGAGGCGCATTTCATTAAAGAGTTAGATGCTGCTGGAGCAAAGGCAGTCTTTCCTAGCCAGTTTGGACAGTTTCCTGTAAGGTTTTCCTTAAAATAGTCCCAATATTTTAAAGGAGACGTGGGCCCGACTGGTATGGCTCAGTGGTTAGAGTATTGGCCAGGGCACCGAAAGGTTTCGGGTTGGGTTCCTGACTAAGGGCATGTATCTGGGTATTGGAGGCAACCAATTAATGTGTCTCTCTCACACCAATGTTTCTGTCTCCTTTTCTCCCTTTTTCCTCTCACTCTCCCTTCCACTGTCTCTAAAAATCAATGGAAAAAATATCCTTGGTGAAGATTAACAAAAATGAAAATAAATCAAAGGAGATGTGGGGATTCAACTCCTGGGATCTCCAGGTAACCAAGTATTTGTAGTACTGCAAGAGAGTAATTAATTCCTTTCCTTAGGAACCATGGAGGTAACTATTTCAAAGCCACAGCAGCCTTTTCCAATTTTCAGTAATGTTTATAGGTATGCTAATACAAGGAGGGCGTGGTGAAGGGGAGTGGCTTTTGCTATTTGCACTCGGAAGCTAAGCTGATGGGAAAACTCCCAGGCTTTGCTACCTTAACAGTGCAGGGTGGGAAGGAGGAGAAACCTCAACAGGAAAAACTAATGGGTCACTATGGTCTAAGCCAGCAGTAGGCTTAGGATGACACAGGGTGACAGATAAGCCAAGGAAGCCCTATCTTGGGAGAAGCATACATAGGCATTATCTGTCCAAGCAGATGCCCACAGAGCCGCAGAAATAGCAAGGGTGACATTGTTACCTACTAACTTTAGTAGGGTTCTGTCGCTGGAAAAGGCATGTCAACACCCCCTCTCACTCCTGCGAGCTAGAGCCGTCCACTGGTTGTTCTGGTCTTTGGGTCCTCCAATCTTCAGTCTGTCCCCAACTGGAGAGGGGAAGCTGGGGGGGAGGGGAGGGGCAGTTTCCTCTGTGGGAAAAGAAGAGCTGAAAAGAACAAACTTATGCAAGGTTAGCAAAACTTGCCCTAGATGTTGAACACAGTGTGTTTAATTTTTGTTTCCTGTTCTAACCCAGAAGTTTGGGTTTCCCATATACAATTTCAAAAGGGTTCAACTCGAGCCCACTTCTAGGGGCTCCCCTGATCCAGAGTACGGCGACAGGAGACACCTGGTCTCATTGCAATGGGCCTCTGGCACAGCTTTGCCAAAGTTTTCTTCAAGGTGTGGTTTGTGGCTTTTTGCCAGTTCCAGGAGACAGGTCTTCAGGACACCTTTTTTTTTTCCCAACAAAGATTCCCCAAGGAGACTTACTTATTTATATATGTATACTTATTATTTTTGTTACTCCTCACCTGACGATACTTTTTCTTTTCTTTTTTTTTTTTTTTTGAAAGATTGGAAGAGAGAGGGAAAGACCGAGAGAATTATCGATGTATAGAGAAACACATTGACTGCCTCCTGCATGCGCTCCCAACCAGGCCCAGGCAGGGGAGGATCCTGCAACTGAGATACGTGTCCTTGACCAGAATTGAACCCAGGACCCTTTGGTCCAAAGATCGATGCTCTATCCACTGAGCCAAACCAGCTAGGGCTTCTCCTATGTCCTAAATAAGACATCTCTTGTCCGAAAATCTGAGTTTTGTGAAGGGAAACTTTAAAAGGCACAGAATGCAAGATGGTTAAAGGCTTTGGTAGTATTTTTTTATTTTTTTTAATGTTTTTATTTATTTCAGAGAGGAAGAAAGAGAATCACTGATTGTCTACCTCCTGGGGATTGAGCCTGCAAACTGAGCATGTGCCCTGACTGGGAATTGAACTGAGATCTCCTGATTCATTGTTGATGCTCAACCATTGAGCCACAATGGCAGGACTGATAGTATTTTTCAAACAAGTCTCATAAGAGAAGCCAATAAAGTCCAATTATAGGCCTCTCAAGTCTTTGGCTAGTTCTCTGAAAACCATGGAAGAGTTCTTTTTATATATTTTATTGATTTTTTACAGAGAGGAAGGGAGAGGGATAGAGAGTTAGAAACGTCGATGAAAGAGATACATCGACCAGCTGCCTCCTACACACCCCCTATCGGGGATGTGCATGCAACCAATGTACATGCCCTTGACCGGAATGGAACCTGGGACCTTTCAGTCCGCAGGCCGACGTTCAGTCCACAGACCGAAGTTCTAAACCAGCTATACTGGTTTCGGCCATGGAAGAGTTTTTAAATCCCTATGGCAACACAGTCCAACCATACTGGGTAGTAGTTTTACTCACTGGGATCTGCCATTCGAAGGCCAACAGTAATTGTGCCTGCTTATCAATTGGAATACAAAAGCTATCCTGCCCGGCTGGTTTGGCTCAGTGGTTGAGCATCAACCCATAAACCAGGTGGTCATGAGTGATTCTGGTCATGGCACACCTGGGTTTCCAGTTCAATCCCCAGTAGAGAGTGTGCAGGAAGCAGCTGATTGATGCTTCTCTCTTATCATCGATGTTTCTCTCTCTCTCCCCTTCTCCTTTCCTCTCTGAAATCAATTAAAAAAACCACACAATTTATATTATTATTATTATTTTTTTTTTAAAGAAGGCATTCTTTAAATCCAACACAGAGAACCAACTGCTGTTCCCTGGCACAGCTGTCAACAAGGGGTTTGGGTTGTAGACAGCTGGATGAATGTCCTGAGTAACTTTATTAATAGCCTGGCGGTCCTGGACAAAATATTATTTGGCTTCCTAATGGGCAGGATTGATGTATTCTATGGTGACCTGCAAGGCCTAATTAATCCAGCTTTCAGAAATTCCTGCAGGATGGTTGTATCTCTTCTAGAGCTTCCTCTTTTAGTGGGTAGTTTTCTCGAGGCACAACGGTCCCTTCCTTTAACTGAACGGATACTGAAAAAAGATTTTTTTTGCTGGCCCCAGTCCCGTGGGCCCACGGGATCTTACTTGCTCAGAGATTTCAGGTGGGAAAATTCCCCTGGGGGCCTCTGGCTTCAGTAAGGAACATCTGGAGCCTTCGCGTGTGTCCCGGGGGCACCTACAGGGGGCGCTGCTGCTTCATGGAGAGAAAGTCACTGGAGCAAGGAACTTGCAAAGCAAATCCCCTCCCAACAGAGGAATCGGGCAGCCTGGCCTGTGAGGAAAGCTGTGTGTTAGCTTTGGGCCTCTCTCCAGCATTCTAAGGCTTGAGGAAAGCTTGCTTTCCACGGTTTTCCTGAAACCCCTGACACTGCCATGGCCCTCGGGTTACGTTGGCGAACTGTTCCTACATCGCGACATAACGCGATTTTCAAACTCACCCACATCACTCAATGGAGCACATACACGGCAGTAATGAAGTGAAAGAGTAAAAAAAAAAAAAAACTTAAAAGAAAGTTAACAATCCCTGACCTTTACTTGTAAATACAGTAAATAAAAAACATAAAGCATATATACATATGTCGAAATGACGGAAACTTTTTTTTTTTTTTTTAATAAATGGGAGGTGGCGGCATAACTATGAAACAACGTACGTCAGTAACCCGAGGACTGCCTGTCAGTCACTCCAGTGTCCACAAAAAAGTCTATGGGTTGGTACCCTACTGTCAATTGTACCCAGGGTCCCTGTGGGGAGATACCAACGGGCCCGGTAATATCCAAGGGAGCCCCTGGGTCCCTTCATTCCTCATCGGAGTCCTCAATCAGAGTCCGAATGCCACCCAACCATTCTGTTTTGATTCTGAAGTGCATTCCTGAGTGCTTTCAGAACTAATCTAGGGCATTCTTTTTTCCAATGCCCTTCCTCCTTACAGTAAGCACACTGGTTTGGGCCCAGAGGCCTCCTCCGCCTCGTTTCTTCCCGCCCCCCTCCAGGATTTAAGAAAATAACAACCTGCTGCTGCGGTTCCATCTTTCTGCTCTGAGCCCTGGCAAGGCTGACCAGCTGCTCCGGGTTCATGGCCAGTGCTCCATTCAGCGTTTCAAGCTTTCTCCTAATATATGGGGCACTCTGGTAGATGAAGGACAGACTGACCTGCCACACATTTTCAGGTGCTTCGGGGTCTATATTGGTGTATTTACGGTAGGCTTGGTAAAGTCTCTGTAGAAAGTCTTCAGGGTCCTCGTCAAGTTTTTGCTGTACAGCCCGGACCCGTTCGGGGCAGTTTTTCTTGGTCACCCCTCTCTTTAGCCCTTTTAGTATGCATCTTCTGTAATGCTCCAGGTGCACGAGGCCTCCGCCGTTTGGATTCCAATGGGGCTCCACGAGAGGCACTGCCCCCGCGGGGCTCGGGGTTCGGTGGGGGTTCTCCCTATACAGCCGGTAGGCTTCCTCTAGGGCCTTCTCTCTTACTAGCTTCCTCTCGTCGCTTGTTAGGAGGATGTTCAGGAGCGCCTCCACATCGGCCCAGTTCGGTTGATGGGTTGAGAAAATGAATGTAAAGAAATCTGTTGTTTTCTGGGGGTCCTCTTGGTAAGAAGGATTCGTACTTTTCCACTTCAGTAAATCTGAAACTGAAAATGGGGTACGGGCCCAATAATACCCCGTCGGCTGGTCCTTAGGATCCACGCCTCCAACTGGCAACTGTCTCGGCTGATACGGCACCACCATCCCCGTCTGCGGAGCCCCTGGCCCACACTGGGTGCCCTGTGAGGACCTAGAAGGGGAGACAGTTTGCTCATCACGTGAAGGAGGAGCCTTGGCAGCCTGGGTTCCCGGATTTCCAAGATCTCCCCGGGACCGTGGGGGTGGGGGCGGTGGAATACGGCCACCTCCCTGCTTTGCGGTCTGTGTCCCTGGGCTCTGTGAGGCCGAAGGAGGCGTTTCCTCATTCTTTTTCTCCTTCTGCGTCTTCCTGTCTGCAGGGGGAGGCTTTGGCTCACGGTCTGAAAGCCGAGGCTTTGGTTTACTGTCTGCAGAGGGAGGCTTCGGCTCACTGTCTGCCTGGGGCGGTTTCACAGACCTTCCACATGGAACCGTTAGCATATTGCCCTCCCTGGCTGCATCCATCTTGTGCAGCCACATAAAAGCCTCTATGTAAGATAGTTCACCCCACTTCCCAGACCGCTTACAGAAAGACTCTAACTGCAAAATAGTATAGTAATTCAAAGAGCCATTCAAGGGCCATCGCTCTTCGGACCCCAAAACATACGTTGGCCAGACCTTATTGCAATAGGAAATCATCTTCTTCTTCGTCATTGGCTTACGTCCGTGGACATACCATCTCTCTAAGACGCGGCCGAGGGGGCTGTCTTTCGGGATGGACTGCGTCGTTCCCATGGCCACTAGCCAAGGACAGAACCAGTGAAGCGAGAAGGAGGCAGCTGCATACAGTCGGGCGGCACCTGCCTAGAAGCACAGACAGGATCACTGGCCAAGAACCCTCCACAATCTATACAACTGTTGCAGCAGCAGCGTCACCTCGGGAGGCCCAGCACACCGAGCGGGTGTCTAGTCTTTCCTATATAAGCTTCCAGGTAAAGTTGGGGACTTTCCACATTGGTTGCTGTTCGGGCGGCTGGCTGATGCAAGAAGCCAAGCGTTGGCGTCGAGGACAGCGGTGCAAGCCAAGGAGGTCGGATCTGCTCTCGACTTGCCTTCTCACAACCAGAGAAGCATCCGGAACCCAGACCAGAAGCTTAGATACAGCCAGATAACAGCCAGACCAGAGCGAGTCCTCCTCCCAGATCCCCGTGCAAAGGAGAAGGAGGGCTGGCTGTCCTCACAAAGCCTTGCCACCCGCCAAGGGGCGCCAGTGGGTTCCCACGGGACCCCAGACGGTTGGAAGGAACCAGATGGCGGGGGCAGTGGGTTTCTGGTCCTGCCCACCGGGGACTCTTCCCACTCAGGCCCCAGGAAGCCGTTCTCTCCCCTCCGCTGGGCGTCGGAGGCGCCTGGCCGGAGGAAGAGACAGACCCCGGGTACAACCACCCGGCAGCCCGGGGATTCCCGTCCGAGATCTGGGGACTTACCGGGGGTTCCCACTGGCTCCTGGCGATGGATGGCTCGTCAAGTCTGAAAACTGCAAAGCAATGACCTGGGGCCAAGTCCGGTTCCGCCGACTGGGAGTGCAGGGAAGGAGTTGGGCTCCAGTGTCCAGCCCGTGGGGAGACGGGACACCCTTCTTTCTGGTCCTCCAACCCCAGCCGGGCCCGCGCGGTGCAGGCGGGACTTTAAGGAGGGGGGGGGGGAGGGTCGGGGAGAGGTGAAACCGAAACAGAGAGACCAGGGGAGGGGCTGTGGGGCTGGGAAGGCCGCGCCCCCAGAGAAGGGGGTCTGGAAGGAGGAGGGGCTGGGGGAGGGTGGCTTCCCTCCTCAAGGTCTCCTCTCTCGGCCAGAGGCCTTATCTCTCAGGACTTTGCAGTGTGGGTTGCCGACCTCTGTGGGTTTTCGTGGCTGGCGCCAGGCATTCCCTCCTCCCCGAAAGAGACTCCCCCAATTAGACTGCGAATGGGAGAGAATAACGGGGCTTCGTGGACAAACTCTTAAGAAACAGGAAGATCCGGCTTCAGCCTGCAAACAGAGAGAATGCAGAGCCTCCTATCGCTCCATTGGAATGTTAATGTGTGGTTACAGCCTTAGGGTAACTCCCACACATTTCTGGCTGGTCCCCACCGGGCTGGAGAAACAAAGCCCTCTTACCCTAGGACAGTGTTTCCCAAACTTTTGACGTATGTGAACCCCTTCCATAATTTCCGTAACGCTGAGGACCCCGCGTACTCATGAGAACGTAGAATTAGGCGCAGCTAAGCACGGTGCAGTGCATATCCCCACCAAACTCCGGTGCAACGTGTACCCCCACCAAACTCTTCCCGGACCCCTGGGGGTACACGTGCCACACTTTGGGAAACACTGCCCTAGGATTAGGGGGCAGACGCTTCAAGTCTGCTGCACGGATGGCCGCCAAGAGCGTGCCTTCCTTTAGTGAGTTACAGAGACCTGCCCTTGCCCAGCCTTGGGCTCTGGGCTTTAGGGTCTTGGTGTTGAAAGAATAAAAATGTTTAAAAGCTGTCTCACTCCTCAAGGTCTCTCTCTGGCTAGTGATGGGAACAGAGCCTTTGAACCTGTCTCACTCCCCAAGGTCTCCCTCTGGCTAGTGATGGGAACAGAGCCCTTAGAGCTGTTTCAGGGAACAGCCCCCGGACAAGGAACAAATGGAGCAAACATCGCTCTGACAGATAAGAGAAACAGGATAACAGAGTAAACAGTGCCTTGGCAATTAAGGGAAACTAGATATCAGACGGGACCGTTAACTAAGCGCGCAAGCACGGTCATAAAACATGTTACTAACGAGCCCAGCTCCCCTTTGGAATTCCTTTGTTCCCCTCTTCACCCTCGGTGTGTAACCCCTCCCGATATATAGTTTTTGCCTATATATACTTGTAAGACTTTCTGCTCGGGGCTCGACTCCTCTGCTCCTGCGTGAGTTACGAGTTGAGTTGAGCCCCAGTGCGCTGGAATAAAGCCTCTTGCTGTTTGCATCAAGTGACACCTCCTGCGGTTGGTTGGGGTCGCCATGATCCGTGGGACAGAGTGAGGGTCTCCCTCTGGGGGTCTTTCAGTGTCAGGGGGAAGGGCTTTAAGAAGAACAGGCACGGTTGTCTAATGATTATTCACTGCACTAACTACAGATAGGAAGGTTTCTTACAGACTCTGGAACCTGGAGGGTGAAACAGGCCTGTAAAAGATAAGACACCCCAAAGCCCAGATGGGCCCCTGACTCAAAAGAGAAATACATTTTGAGAACAAACCAAGGACAGGACACACTGTGCTCAGACCCTGACCCCACCTCCCCCTCCTGGGAGTTTTCCTCAGGAACACTGATCATTCTTGGGTCCCAGGAATGGGCTGAGCTGTTTGTAACATCATAGAACAAGTCAAATGCTAGCCCGGGCTAAATGAGCCAGGTTTAAGTTTATGAGCACCTCCCCCTACAAAACCACCGAAAGTTTCCATTTTCATAAAAATGGAGGTTTATTTCATAGAGACATGCTGAATCCAAAGGGCTGAAGTAAATGAGTCATTGTGAGTATTTATTATGGGCGGAAAGTCTGACATACTTTTCACAGAAGATTAACCCCCTTGTTATCAGATTTGGAGCTTCTGTGGACGAAAGGGGCCACATGCTGACCTGACAGGCTCAGGAGAGGCCTGCATGGCGGTCTTACAAACTCAGAGACCTAAAGTCACCACAAAGGATGGCCTGAAATTAAACTTTAACTAAGAGCAGTTATGGTGGTTAGTTATGTCCTAGGCGGGTATCTTCACTGACAAGGTCAGCCTTTACCTTCACTGAGCCTATCTGTCTTTATCCATCTGTGATAACATACTCTTGAGTCTCTGGGTAACTTGTAACTTCCCTTTTCCTGAACCCCGGGGGCACAACCCTACGTGCTGGGCGCCAGGACAGATACCACAAATTCCTTCATTATCATGTTAATTGTTCCTGCAACCATCCATCACTTTACTTTTTATCCAATCCCAGGGGTTCCTTCCCCGCTCCCCCTTCCTTGTTTTATCTTGCCCCTTGTTGTGGGCGACCCGGGAATGACGACCACCAGTCAGCCAAATTGGAATTTAGGAAGCCTTTATTACGAACTCGAGTCCGGGCTCCCATCTCAACTGACACAGCAGCGAGCAACGAGAGCCCTGACCCTCTCTAAGCATGCTACTTTCATCCCTGTTTTAGGGATGCCTGGCAGATTATGATTGGCTAACGTTTTAACAAAGAAAGGTCAGTTATAAGTTATAAAAAAAATTCCACTAGTACAGTCACATTTAAAGTTTTTACAACACCTGGGGTGGGGGTTTATATTCAGCTTAAGCAGTCTCTGTTTGACCTGGTTTGGTCTGTTTGTCCTGCCTTGCAGCTACTGGAAACAGGACGTGCCTGCCTGGGGGTTGAGCCTTGCAACAGAACTATTTTATGACCAACAATCATGCTACATTCTTTGTGGTGGGTCTGGTTGCTGTTCCTTCCCTGGCCTGCAGTCTTGCCTCAAGAGGGTGTTGCTAGCCATCTGGAGCTCTGCCTCCACAGGTCTTGCCGGCCCCAACACCCTCTAGTCTATCTAATTCTCAAAATGTATTTCTCTTTTGAGTCATGGATTTCTTGTAACCCACCTATGTCTCTCCTTTGATGGCAATGTTTAAATACAGATGTAACCCGCCATTCTCCGGAGCATTATCTCACTTCGCTGAGGTTCTACTTCCTGGCATATGTTCACAGTTTGGCTCAAATAAACTCAAAAAATTTTTTACAGGTTTTAATTTTTTTTAACGTTAATATTACCAAGGCCTGACTGCAGAATCTACCCTCCCCTGTCCATGTTAGATTTGTACTCGCAGCTGCACATAGCTATCTTCTCCCTCGTGTGTATATAATCAGCCAACTGGTAAGGGGGGATCAGAGCAGATTTTTGTGGGTGAGCAACTGCTCTCCCATACTGCCAACGTCATGGGAATAAACGCTCATATATGATGCAAACCTGTCTCTGCTTAATTGGCTCAAGCAGTGACAGGTAGCCCGGACCCTTTGCTTGTCAGGTTACATTTGGAGCAATAATAATAATAAAATAAAATATCAGATGAGCCAAATACAGGCTAGGAGTTTTGAGAGAACATGTAAGTGTAAGGTCCCAGCTGAGAGGTTTGCGAAGCAGAAGCAAGACACGGAATCCAGGCCATTAAAAGGAGGAAAGGTTTTGATAGATCCTCCCTTCCCTCAGCTGATGGACAGACGTAAACCCCACCTGTGGCCAGACATTCCTGAGCTCTGAACCACCAATCAGCACCTGCCAAATACCCTAAGCCCCCATTCCTAAGTCCCTAGGTCCCTAATCAATCAGTGTGTGCTGAGTGCCCTAAGCCCCGCCCTCTATCCTTAAAAGTGCTTATAAGCCCCTTGCTCACTCTCTTCCGCTCCTCTCCGTGGAAGCAGCCAGCAGGGGTACCCTTCCCTCCAATAAAACCTGTGTCCTGCCATCCTGGTCTCCGGTCTACCTTCTCTATTTAAGCTATCAGGTTTTAATCTGCGCTCCCGGATGAAGCTCACTGGTCTGAGGGTGGGCCACGGAAGTTCACGCCAAAAAGCGGCATAGATACTTCTTTTATACAGCTGTTTAGTGAGGGGAGGGTGGAGGGCATGAGAGGTGTGGAATTCCTGCCTCAGGCTAGGGGTCTAGGAAGGTCCTAGGAAGACGCCAGCTAGTCAGCTAGCCAGCTATCTTTGTCACCATTCACCTTGCAGATGCTTGTATCTGCTCTGGGCTTCCCCCCTG